AGAGCCAAGAAGTGAACAATTTCTGCTCACCACGTACATATGTGTGGTATTTTGTCTAAAGGAAAGAAAGCCAAAATTTGTAATAAACAGCAAAAATAAGGAAATTTATTACCATTTCCCCCCTCAGTTAATTATATTAATGCAGAAACATACATGGAAGGAAAACAAGGTAGGAAGTGAAAAGCGGAGAAGAGCGTTTCAGAAGCCATTGTTCAGAAACCAAAAAAATTGCCAATGGGGGGTGCTGGCCGGCTCCACTGGTAAAGCATGCAACTCTTGATCCTGGGGTTGTGAGTTTAAGCCCCACGTTGGGGGAAGAGATTACTCAAAAAAAAACTTCAACAGTCTTTCACTAAACTACCACCTCAAGTTCTGATTCCATTTCTCTCCCGCATCGCCAAACCAAATTTCTTGAAGGAGCGTTTGAATCAGCTTCTACTTCCTTATGACAAAAATCACTTCTTGCTGGCATATAAACTAGCTTAGGACTCCACTGAAGTTTTTAGGCAGGATGGCCTGTAATTTGACAAAATCCATCTCCTTGGCACCTAACTTCATAGCTGGGTAGACAACAGAAAACCTCCGCCTGAGAGGATAAGAGCAGTGCCACAGAGACATTAACAATAAATAACCTTTCCAAAACATTAATGTTGTTCATGGTTAAGGAGCTGTAGTGACACAGGAGCCAGTTCAGTATTAGCCTGTTATGATAAATTTTTAAGGTCAGCAGGTAAGGTGATTTAGTAAACCTTGCTTTTTAAAAACTGTTGTAGGGAACAAATGTTATGCATAACTCAAATGGTGGTGACTTATGCCCAGGTTCAATGGTTTCATGTTTCTAAGCTATAAAAAAAGCAGAAGTTTTATTCTAAAATTGGCTATCATTTTTGTAATAGACACAATGAAACAATAAATTCCTTTGTGATAATTTACAGCTAAGTGCTCCCAGCTACTGGGCATGTGGATCTGCTGACTTGAGGAAGTCTGGGTGAGCCAGCCACAGTCAAGTTAGGATTCAACGAGGGGAAGAAGCTACCTCATCGAGCCAGACATGCATGCCTTGTGAAGGAACTCAGGATTATATTAGGTACACCTTTTACATCTGCAAATGTGCTATCCCCATGTTCCTGAAAACATCTGGTGGCAATGAAGACTCTCGGTTAACAGGGCAAAATACAGAGTTCTGCCCAACCTGGAAGCTATAACTTCTTGATAGGAAGGGCTGGGCTGGCTGACATCAGCACTAGGTGCGGTAACACTGAATGTAGCCTCAGTTTGGCTCAATCCCAAACGGGGGATTCTGTCCTCAACCTTTAATTTTATAAACCTGAGTCGTTTATTATCATTGTGATTTTTTAAAATTGAAAATCTTTAATCATTTGGAATTCCAATTTTAAAATATGAGGATCAACAGCATGTGTGATAATGGGCTAAGGAACAATGTGGGAAGATTGAAGATATACAGGGGAAAAGTGAAGTCAAGGGTCAAGCTGGGGCATAATTTAAACACTCTAAGTTCAACTCAATTAACGTTTTCTTCATGACCCGACTTTGTCTGAAAATTACTATTCTGTACAGCACTCTGACTTCTGATACTTTTGTAAAAAGTGCTTCATAAATTAACAATATACTTAAAATAATGTGTCAAAACCTATCCCTTAAGTTACAATTAAATTTAGACTTATAATTTAAAGCTTTTATTTGAATATATACAAGTAACTAAGGGAGATAAACCAGAAAACACTATAGGCCTGGGCTGCCTGAACTGAACTGTACCAGTTAGATGCATTACAACTTACTGGGTAATTTGTTCTTAGAAGCAAGGGAAAATCTTTTCCTAAGTCGTGGTGCTCTGCCTACTATAATATAGCCTGAGCCCAGTCAGAGGAAGGTATCATTTAGTTATGCTCACCCTTTTTGTCCTAGTTTTCTTTTTTAAAGTTTATGTTTATTTATTTTGAGAGAGTGCACATGCACGTGCGCGTGTGTGTGTGCGCGAGCGCGCGCGCGCACACACACACACACACACACACAAGCAGGGGAGGGGCAGAGAGGGAGGGAGAGAGAGAATCACAAGCAGGCCCCATGTTGTCAGTGCAGAGCCTGACTCGGGGCTCAATCTCACTGCGAGATCATGAACTGAGCTGAAATCAAGAGTTGGACACTTAACCAAGTTACCTACTTGTAGAGTCGTAGAGTTGTAGAGTTTCTGTTGTAGAGTTTCTGACAAGACCCAGTATACAGACATGAGGGATAGGGCAAAGATAGCGGAGGGGACAATGGACAAGGGAAAGAGAGTCTTTGGAAATGCAGATATAAATAAGGAGACAACTGGGAAAACAGAATCATAAACCCATGCAGATACTATGTTGTTGAGATATGTGACTGTATAAATGCATACATACATAACCATTTCCTCTAGATACTACAGTTCAGAAAAATTCTATATATTTTACATAACCTTGAGTAGCTAAAAAACATACCCAGTATAAGGCAGGAAAAAAATATAATAAATGTTGAATGATAAACACATAAGAAAATAAAGGCAAAATGCTAAACTGCTGAAGAAGAAATGAGGTTTCCTATGGACACATGCTCTTTTGCTAATAAACTAATGATTTCATACACAGTTTTTGCTTTGAACAATTCATTATGCACAGATGCTAAGAGTCTAGAGTCTAAGAAAACAATCTTCTCTATCCTCTAAAGATCAGGCAATTACAGCACAGCTGGTATGATAATTTCATTAATAACTTGTGGGACAGTGCACTGGTGGTGCTAATGCCAAATTACAATTAGTTACAAATACTATTTCTTTAGTTTGCTAAATAGAGAATATATCATTTAGTGTCTGTTTTATTTTAACTGCATTTTGCTCCATGAGTCAGAATGCAGAGCAAAATCTAAAGTCTTGAAAGACTTCCTACCCACATAATTACTGATACACTGTAAGAACCAGTGACTTTGGGCTTGAGAGGCATAACAGAAGCGTTAAGATGATATTGTATGAAGTATAATCCAAAGCTCCAAAAACCTATTTCACATCAAAAGAAATACTGTTAATCTCAGCTGGGAGAGGAAAAACATATAACAGATAACTAAGACCCAAGAGAAGGTCTCATGAAAATAGATCCTAACTCAGGGTTTTATAGCTTTACAAAAATAAATCTATTGTTACATTCCCTGATAGATAATTTGGCCAGCTTCAGGGCTCGAAAATGAATGTCTCCAACTACCAGGAGTGGAGGAAGAGAATACATCCTGTGCATCAATCAATTAAGTTCCACTTTATTGGCTTGTCAGGTATTTATCAGTAACTTTAAATCCAAGAATTATGGGAGCTCATGATACCTGGCATCTTTGGGCTCATGGACTACTTTGCCTATTCCTAGATATCCCTAGGGCACAAAGATTGTCATTTCATTGGTAATCCATTACAGTGTTCAGCTACCTACCTGTCAACAAGGCTATTTTATTTCTTTCCTACTTATCTTGGAAGATCTCAATATAACCCTACTTTCTTTTCCCAGATGAGCAAACTTGGTGAAGCAACATTTCTTTTTTAGTTCTTTATTCACTAGACTTGTTTTTATTGACCACAGAGGAAAACCAAGCTAATTCTGAAATCACTTTTATGTTCCTCTCCACCTTTAATCACGAAGGAAGAATTTTCTTCAGCCCTACAGATCTATCTTGAGATACAGATCACAAAGTGACTGTCCTCAGTTGTGTCAACTGTGGTGTCCAAAGAAGGTTTTAGGTCTAGAGGGAGAAAATTTAAATTTCTTCAAAGAAACCATAATTTTTCCTAGACCTTATATCGTCCCTCTAACTCCATGCAATTGTATCTGCTCATTAATATTTATCGTTGATTATCCACGAATGCTAGAATTTAGCAAGATTCATGTGAAGATATGTATCATCTTGTATCTATCCATCCATCCATCTAAAATGCACACAAAAAGGGAAAGTATCTGATCTGACATGGAACAGGCAGGAGGCAGCCACTTGTACAGGGTAAATTACATCAACTCTTCCATCAGATCCTACAAGCAACAAAAACTCAGCCACACCAGTTCTTCATTTCTCCATTCACTGTCCTTACAGGAAGTGACTAAATGGGATGACGTCTTTCACATCTGTATGGAAAACTAGAGATACATTTTTCCCACCAGTTTTTAGACTGGAGTAAAATCAGAAAACAAGTTTCTCAATAAAAGCAATGCTGTCATTTTGGGTAGGACAGTCCTTTATTGTGCTTGAAATGTCCTGAGCAGGTTACTATGTTTAGAATCCCAGTCCCTGCCCCACATGTAAAGGTGGTCTTCACACTCTTTACCACCGTTCTTTGAACTACAGTGTTGCCCTTGATGAATGCTGAGATCCACCCAAGTCATGCTGATAATATAAAAGCTCCCCTTACGTACAAGGGAAGATGGTGATATTCTTCAAAACGAATATGCTAAATAGCATTTTTCTAAACTTAATAAAACCAATTTAAAGGTATTGCCAGAGCATTATTTTCATTTGGTTCATACTGCCAGTAAAGAATGGAGTCTTCTTACTACGCAAATAGAACAATTTCATAGTCCCAGAGTTCAACTTGTCAGATAGAGTGAGTAGAAGGGTGAGGCTCGGCCAACAGTTTCTGCTCAAGAAAAGCTTAACATCTCCAGGTTAGAATTCTGAAAAGCAGAAAGTCAAAGACCAGGTGTAACATTTTCAAAAAAAATGACATATTTAAGGGCAAATGCTCGGGCTGGGATGTCAAAGAAGAGAGGCTGAGGAGGATAAGGAGAGAAAGAAGGGAGAGAGAAGTGAGGTGGGAGCCAAAACAACCCTGGAAAGCAAGCTAAAATTCTAATGGCTGCTGCCTCACTGCCTCAGTCTAAATCCAGTTACGTATCTAAAGGGAGTTGCAGAAGCTTAGAAGAGGGCTGAGATGCTGACCACACCGTAGGAGGACACATCTGTAGAGCACTGTAGAGCACACATCTAACCTTTGCTGGTTTTAGTCGGTTCCGAGGCCATGTTTCCAGTCTTCTTCTTTTTTCTTGGGACAGGTACACATTTCCGGTCAAATGTAACAGGACTGTATTGAGGGAGGCTGTTGAATTTCTTTTCAAATTCTTCATCCAGCTTTGCTGAGCTAATAAGAGAGGGGGGATGGAATCAATCAGCACGTGACATAAATAGTTAAACAGAAAATTACATGAGACCTATTTTAAGATACTCCATTTTAAAAACAGGGTCCCTGATAATTAGGGCACTGTTGATAAACTCTGTGGCAGGACAAAAAAACATCTTTTCAGAAATGCTTGAAAAGATTTACCAGCACAGTTTTTTTCAGTCAACTCACAAGAAAGGTTGCCTTGTTTGTTACCTTAGAAAAGCAGAGATATTATTTAAAATATAAGAATATTTTTGAAGTTCTCTCCATTGGCATGGACATTTTCCACTAAGTTCAACACAAAGCATATTCCATGCACACAAGTTTCTCATTGTAAAGATTTGTGTGTGTGTGTAGGCAAGTTTATTGGTGATGGGGTATCACCATCAGCGATTTTATAAGATTTATTTTTTAAAAACATATTTACTGACTAGTACTTGCTTAAAACATCTCTACACACAAAGAAAACACAAAAATTCTGAGGATCATAAAAACAAATTCTGGAGAGTTGACCAGGATGGCGTTAAACCACTCAACGACAAGGAAAGCCAGTTTTCAATGAACACACTGGCAGACAGGCAGCACCACTTTCACGCAAACCAGGAACGACTGCAGAAATGGCACCAGCAAAGTTGGGAAATCCTTGGGCTGCTTCTGATGGTCTCGAAGGCCCCCACGCAGCAATGGCAGCATGCCTGCTGGATCACTGGCTGGCTTCTGACTTCCACTTACTGAGACTTATTAACTAAGATGAAACCCAAACAGATGGGAGAAGCTGCAGCAGAATGGTGGCGCGTGCCGGATGGAGAATGGAAAGCCTTCTGGGGAGAGGGCAGCTTTGAGTCAACTCACAAGAAGCTAACAGCTAATGTGTTAGGCTGCTACCTACAGGATGTACTTGAGGTGTGTCCACCTAAAACTATTCTGTTTGGAGGAATATACACAAGTTGGGGAACAGAGACAAGACAGTCCAATAACCAAAGAATGGTCAATGGAAAAAGGCCATTAATTAGTTCTATCAAAGCAGGGAAGGTGGGCACCTGGGTGGCTCAGGCAGCTAAGCGCCAATTTCGGCTCAGGTTGTGATCTTGCAGTTCATGGGTTTGAGCTCCGTGTCAGTCTCCGTGCTGACAGTACAGAGCCTGCTTTAGATCCCGTTTCCCTCTCTCTGCCCCTCTTCACCTTCTCTCTATCAAAAATAAATAAATATTAAAAAAATAAAAAGCAGGGAGGGTGGTGGGGGTGATACTACTTCATTAATAAAATCACCTTTTCTATCCAGTTAAAAAACATTTGTAACTAATGGAAAAATCAGATAGTAATCAGATACTATCAGAAAGCTACCTATAATATAACTTTTTCAGATAATCTGAAAAAAATCAAAAGAAAATCATGAAAATGCGACTTATAACTCGTAAGGTCCCTTGGGACTTTTTTTTCCTTGTCTTTTTTCAACTATAATAATCATCCATGTTTTTTTTTTGTGGGGGAAATCTGTAAGATTAGAACTGCCAATACGAAGTGAATTTTTCTTGGCAACAAATAGCATATTTTCTGTGATAAAAGGGGTTAAAATGCCTATTTAGAAATCTCAGAGAAGACTGATAGGAACTGGCATCTCATACTGCTCATCCGCTGTGTTGGTATATTCCAAACAAAGCAGACCCAGATAGTCTAATTCTGAAAGGCCTATGTATGTCGGTGGGGATGGGAGGGGGGGTCGGTGGGGGACAGGAAAGACCAGAGGTTCAAGACCAGAGATTTAAGCCTATAGGAAAACCACACTCCCAGTTACATACATGTGCCTTCCTTAGAAATTATTAAAACAAAAACAACCCATACACCAATCTCTTTTCAGAGATAGACTTTCAAAATATTGTTTCACTTTTCTTGTTCCTAAAGAAGATTGGTAAAAACACCTCTCTCACGGCTCTCAGCAGTTTCTAATGGAAGCATCAGAGACCTCTCTGCTGAGAGTCTTAATTTCTGCTTTATTTCCCCAGGATCCCATACTGTCTGCGCGAGACCTGCTCCTCTCTCAGTGAGCAGACCCACAGGGCACTAGTAGTTCTAGAAGATACAGAGCATTGGTCCTGACACTCAGTGGTCACTTTTTAAGGAAATTCTGCATTTGAAAATATCATTTGACAATGATGAATATGAGAATTTTTATGTTATTATTTATAAGTTGAGTTTGCAAGCAAAACTAATTTGAACTACTTTGGACTTATAAAGTATTAGAAAAGAAATACATAAAATTAAAAAAAATATCATCTGAGTAAATCATCTTGAGGAATTTAACAAGAGAAATAATTTCCAATCTCCCATTTCTGATGACCTGGAGCCTTAAAATTACCAGATTTTAAAGCATTGTAACTTCTAAGGAAAAAACATATTGTTCCACTAACAGAAATGCAAATACTTATGAATAAACCAAATACTTCCGATCCATGAAATCTGCATACCTTTAAACACACTTATGAAAAAATATGGAAAATGTAAAAATGTACTTATTTCCATTCAATATATTCTTTTCAAATTGGGCTAATAAGAAATCTCAAAGGATTTTTAACAGTTTAACTGAATATGCAGATACTTTCCTGTATATTAAGATTGGTATTAAGAGTCTTTGGAATAACACTAAAAATGAAGTAATTCTTAATGATTTTATCTCGATGTACATGCTATTGCTTGATATTGCATTTCAACACATAATTAATAACTGAGTATTCTCTGCAGCAGAGTCAATCTAACATTTTTATCTTAGAGCAACAGAACATGGTTTCGACACAAATGGTTAGATAGAGGTCGAAGGATAATTTTATTTACCTTACCCTTTTGAGCTGTCATTATTATTTTATAAATACATGTGCATAACCTTTAGAAATATTAAATAAAGTATATATGGCAAGCAAAATGGCAAAATGCTTACATAAACATGTTTATGCTAAAACATGCTTACATAATATCCATTGTAAACCTTAGATGGAAAAATGCGTCCTGGCAATATTAAAGGATTTACGATGTCACAGCACTAATACATGGTGGGCCTCAATTCAAACTGAAGCCTACATCTCAAATCTACATACTATGTACTATACCTGAAATGCAGATGGCACGGTCACTCACACAACCGCGTTAACAGCAGGAACCCTGTGGTATGCGGAGATTCCGTGCTCTCGTTTGCAAAGACTGTAATAAGTGCAGAATGAATGAATACTCCAGAAGAAGCAGTTAGTGAATTAGGTTTACCTTGGAAAACCTATCACACTTGGTGTCTATGCAGTGTGCTGACTGTGCTCACAGACACTTACCCAAGGAGAGAATCTTCCTTTGGCTTGGTCTTCTTGAACTTCTTGCTCCCACTGGTCCCACTCTGATTAAACGTCCAGCTTTCTTCATTCCAACACCCTTCATGGTCAGAGGAGTTTCCTTTTCCTGAGCTTCGTTTCCCTAAGGGAATTTGAGAGACAGAATGTGCTTGGTATATTGGGATGAGGTTGCTTCACAAGTGAATTGCTGACCCCTTAGGTATCGTCTGCATGATGCTATTTGTAACTATTTCAGTTTTGGTGTCCTCTAAGCGATTCGTGATGGACCACCCTTAATAATACAGCATGCAAAAAAAAGTATACAGCTATGGGATAAGTCTTCCTATCACAACTCAACAGGTACTGTGCATACTGTGTGACTCAAGAGACAGACTAACTACTATCACCTTTCCCATTAGAGAATCAGACTAAGGTGTAGAAGCCTTTGCTGGTGGGCACTATTAATGTGAATTTCCCTCAGATTTACTGGAATGATATCCCTGTACTCCCAAGGATCTGCATTCAGGGCTTGTTAGACCCATTTTCTCAGACATCTCTAAATTGGAATTTAGCTTGGCAAGAGGTAGTCCCCTAGCCAGATGCTGTATTTTAAAACAGATGAATTTATATACAACACTCTGTGAAATAAAGGTATACACATTAACTGGTTTTATGTTTTAAAGAGGCCTTCCCTTCAACTATAGTTTTGAATACCTACGGAGAGGGCTAGACAGATTATTTGCTTTTGGAGCCTACAGATCAACATTCTGCCCAACAGATTTGCTTGATTCAGGAAATTCTTTCCTTCAGTTTTAAAAGCCATAAGAACTTTAAACATGTAGTGCTTATCTTTCAAAACAAGAAGCCAGCCCATACCAGGTTAAAAAAAAAAAGTTTGAATTATTTGAACACATATCCTGAGAACTACCTACAAAATGAATATAAGATCTGCTCTATGGTGCTAGAAAACATGTAGGTAAAATGACACATGTGTCTATAAACCATAAAGAACTGTACAAATATATTGTTCTGATGCCACATTGTTCTTTATGGTGGCTCTTCTCAATGAGTCTAAAGGAGGCATTCGCTACGTTTCCATATTCTTTTCACTTTTGTGAGAGTTACTTACCTCTGTCAACATTAGCTCGCAGAGAGGTGAGCATGCCTTCAGACACCAGGGTTTTATAAAGAGCACCTTTGCAAGACCTCTCAGATTTCCGGGAGCCACAAGTCTCTATTTTTCTGTGACAGTCACTTTCCTCAGGCTTGGCCTGTCCAGATAGGCTCGGTGGTAATGCATCCTCCGTGGGGGTCAATGGTTCTGCTTTTATACCCTCTGGCACCTCACCAGAAATGTTCTTGCTGGCAGAAATATTAATGAAATCTGGAGGTCTTGACTCTTTGGTGGTGTCTGAGGATTTCTCCTTTGACATTTTCTTCTCTCTTGATTTCACTTTTTTCTTTGGTGGCTTGGCATCCAAAATGCTTCCCTTGCCACTTGAAGATGCGCGGACCTTCTTGCGAGGGGTTTCTCCAAGTTTCTCGATGCCCCAGTCTCCCTTTGCAACGGCTTCAATGGTGTATATAACACTCTCAATGTCAGACTCTGAAGACTGCCTCTTTTTGCAAGTCTTCTTGGGTGTGGATTTATCATTTCCATGTCGATCCATTTTGCTTTTCTTCTTTTTCTTTTTTAGTTTCTCTGGTTTGTTTAATGCTGTGGGATCCTCAATGATCATAATTCCATGAGGATGGCACATATGATCCTTTCTACTGGGAACATCGCTTATTATTATCTTGCTACTGGCAGAATAAGAAAAATCAGGGAAGTGACTACATTTTTGATCTTCTTCTAGTTCTTCCTTTTTAATTTCTTTGGGATCTTCCACTTTTATATCCATTGTATCATCCATTCGTAGCTCCTCAAAATTTCTTAGTTCCTTAGAATCTCTTACATTTTCCTTAGCTGATTTTTCAAATTCTGCTTCCTTCTGTGACCTGGCTTCATCTGTTTTCTCCATTTTTATTTCTCTTTGTTCCTTTCCCTTCTCCAATTCTTTAATTCTTCCACCATCTGATTCTTTTGCCTTCATTAGCTTTGATTCCTCCATTTTAACCCCCTCTGATGCCAGACACATCTAAACGGTTCAAACAAAAATGGGAGAATGACAAAATAATATTTTTTTTTTGAAATACACTTGAAATTAGCTTAAATTTTAAAAGTCTATCCCTCTTTAAAGTAATCAAAGCAAACTTTACAATAATCAGCCCACTTCTGCCAAACTAATTTCAATAACTCAAATTTTAAAAAGGCTGTAGGCATTATGATACATTCATTACATTTTAGATAAGCATGTACTCAAATTCTCATTTTCCAGCTTCATCCGAAGCTTTTTCTATGAAAACATGATTTGGTAGAAAGAAGATGGGTTCTAGAGTTGAAAGACCTGAGCTTGAGTCTTAGTTTTGCTACTTGCTAACTCTGTGGCCTAAAATGAGACATTTCACTGTTCACTCCTCAGCTGTCTTTGTAAAATAAAAAGGATGTCAAGAATGATTGTCTCAGAGGATTCTGTGAGGTTTAAGTGAGATGATATACTGATGCCAAATACTGACTAAATAATCCCCAAAATGTTTAGATGTTTACCTTTTCTTTTTTCTTGGAAACGAGAAAAAGAGCAACATTTTGTACCTACCCAGTTGAAGTTAGAAATGAGAAGATGATTCATTAAATAACTACAGAGGATTCTGGTTAATGAAAACAAAAACAAAAACAAAAACGTTACAGGCCTCAGATGCTGACAGATAACCTGAAGATCATAAAAGTGGTGAAAACTAAGTGATGGTGTTTTTTGTTTTAAACTCATTTGATAGCAGACTTGATCTAATCTGAACTTACACGCCTAAAAATTCTGACCAGAACTAATGTGAAATTACTTAACATCTTAATTCACATTTAACGTGACTATTCATATGCTTTCGCTATCAGCATCTTCATGCATTTGCATTATGCCCTGTGGGAATTAACTGCATAGCATAAGATGCATATACTATATCATTTTTCTAAAATCTGAAAAATTCTGAATACTAAAACACATCTTGCAGCAATCCGGTTATGTTTTAAAACTCCCCAAATTTCACACATAGGACCTTATAGGAAACACTTGCCATCTTCCTCTCCAGTTCCCAGGTACCTCGAAAATTCAATCTAAAGCTATTTTCTGAAAGGGGAAATTGCAGCTTTTGTAAAGTTCATTTTCAATACATGGACTTTCATTCATAAACATTCCCTGAAATGCTCCCAAGCGCCAGGCCCCATGGGAGGACCCTAAAGATACAAAGACCATTCTCTGGGCTCAGACTTAGTTTGGGAGGACATGGTTAAATGCATCAAGAAGGCTGGAATGATCGGTCAATATGGGACCTGTTATTGTTGCTTCTCTCAGGAAAATGGTAAAGAACATTGAAATTAGCCAGCATGCTGAGTACACTTGCTCCTTCTGTGGCAAAATCAAGATGAAAAGAGGAGCTGTGGAGATCTGGCACTGTGGTTCAGGCATGAAAACGGCAGTTCATGTGCCTGGACCTACAGCACCCCTTCTGCCACCACAGGAAGGTCTACCTCCAGATGCCTGAAGGAGATGAAAGACCAGCAGCGGAAGCTCCACCATGTGAGACACTGCCGGCCTATAATAAATGCCTTGATTTATGTAACCAAAAAACAAAAGAATACAAAGATCAATAAGTTCCCCTCTCTGCCTCTGAGGATTCATCATGAGGCTGACGATGCTGATTAGGCCAAGGGCAGAACAGGAGTTCTTCTCCATTATTCATTTTACCAATTTTGTATTAGCAGCTTAGAGGAAAAAGAGTACTGGGTTTTGCTGAGCCCCCAAATCAAGCATAAGAATTAGGAAACTGATTCTTTAAAAAAATTTTACCATTGTGTCAAATGGAAAATTGTCAGAAATGTTAATGTATATAAAACTCATTTAAAAATTGTTTTCAATTAAATTTGAGAGAGAGAGAGAGTGCGAGCAGGGGAAAGGGGCAAAGAGAGAGGGGGAGAGAGAGGGAGAGACAGAGGGACTGAGAATCTTAAGCAGACTCCATGCTCAGTGTGGAGCTTGACATGAGGCTTGACCCCACAACCCTGGGATCAGATCTGAGCCGAAAGAGTCAGACGCCAAACTGACAGAGTCACCGAGGCGCCCCTAAAACTCATTTTTTAAATAGATAAGCCATTCAGTTAAATAGGAGATCCTCTTTTACTTCATTTTTCCCCTTAGTATTTTCAACGCATCTCAAATCTTTCTGTGAGAATTATAATTGATAAGCCTGAGAAGAAATTGCAGAAGGGTGAGAGGAGGCAGATCACGCACGTTAAAAAAAAATGAACATGACAATCTTCAGATTTTTTTACAGGGAAGATCTGAAATAGTATGGATTCACAATGGAACTATCTTTTTTGGGAAATCACGTAAGTTAACTTTTAGACCTTAGCAAGTAGTTACGAAGACTGAGAACTCCCCTTTAGCGAAAACGTACCAGAAGTAAGTTCAAAGCAAAAATGTTATTTTAATTCTGACACACTGACACATTTAATTCTCCCTGCATATTTTATTCTCGTTGGACAATGTGCTGTTTTTTCATTGATTTTGAAACGATTTTTATTTTCCTTTCTCGATTATCCTAGCCCTTCATGAAGAACTATCTTACATGGGGGCAGAGACAATACTAGTTCTGGAAAGAAGACTGGAAAGGCATCCTCAAGGTAAATTTTACGGTTTTCAGCCACTGTCACTCTGGCGACCTTTAATAAGTCCCTGCAGGAGCCATGTCCCATAGAGGCACTGGGTTTTATAGTGGCATGCCAACAGTTTGTATTTGCATAGGTTCATCTGAGCAAACCTAATAATACTTTGCAAACTCCATTCTCTGCTTCAATATATTTCAAAATGATTCTCCTCATCACCCCTGATAGGATTCCACAGCTAGGAATGAAATGGAACAAATGCAGACATTCACTCTGGGGACATATTCCAGGAAATAGCATAATATTTCTTGTGGAGGTAATTACACCAGGCACTAGTCATGCTTTACTTCCTTGTTTCGGGCTCTTAAAAGTTTTTTTTTCTCCCACAAATAGAGTATGTTAATCCTAAATTATAAGAAAAACAATTATATTGCTAGAAGTGAAACTATAAAAATAAAACAAATAACTCCGAGTCAAAAACTACAAATCATAAATCTCACTAACCAAAAACCCAAATAAACACAAATCAGACTCAGAGCTGGGTGTCATATTAGGTACTCTAATTTAACATTCTTCCCCATGTAGAAATTCACTTTACTACAATATTCTTGAGACTTAATTATCCAACTTT